CAAGATAAGCATATCCAAATTAAGTTCTTTTCTATATATGAGCAAGAACGAATTAGAAAATATAATTTATAATTAAACTCAATAATAGCAAAAATGATCAAGGAATAAAGATAACATAACATATATGAGACCCATTTTAAAGACAACTAGAAAAGTTTACTAAGACATCAAAAGAGGGCTAGGTAAGACACAATGAGTTCCTGGATAGTTAGTCTCAAAACCGTAAATATATTAATTAAATCAATACACTCAAGCAGCAATGCCAAGAAAAAATGTCAGCAGGATTTTTCATTGAACCACACAGTTTACATTAAAGTTCACTAGGAAGAGGAAATGCTCAAGAGCAGTAAATATTTTTTTGAAAAATAAGACCAATAAGGGGAAACTCATTCAAGTAAATATGAAACAGTACAAAACAACAGTAATTAAAGTAGTGCAGAATTGGTATAAAAATAGAGATACAAATCAATGGAATACAACATACTATGTCTAGAAATAGATCCATGTAAATATAGAAACCAGACACATGATAAAGGAGGTATTTCTTTTTTTTTTTTTTAAAGATTTTATTTATTTTATTTTTTGCCCCCAAAGCCCCAGTAGATAGTTGTATGTCATAGCTGCACACCCTTCTAGTTGCTGTATGTGGGACTCGGCCTCAGGATGGACAGAGAAGTGGTGCCTCGATGCGCACCCGGGATCCGAACCCGGGCCGCCAGCATCGCAGCGCGCGCACTTAACCACCAAGCCACAGGGCCGGCCCAAAGGAGGTATTTCTAATTTTTAAGAAAGAACACAGTATTACCATATGATTTCCTTCATTAAGTAGTAGATAATAACAACAATAAACAAACATAGGGACAGAGATTGGATTGGTGGTTACCAGAGGGGAAGGGGGGAGGGAGGAGGGTGAAAGGGATAATTCAGTACATGTGTGTGGTGATGGGTTGTAGTTGGTATTTTGGTGGTGAACATGATGTAGTCCATGCAGAAATAGAAGTACAGTGATGTACACCTGAAATTTTTACAATGTTATAAACCAATGTTACTGCAATAAACAAAAACAAACAAATAAATAAATAAAAAAAAAATAAATTATATCTCAATAAAGCTGTTTAAAAATTAAAAAAAAAAAAAAAGAAAGAACACAGTATTCAATAAATGAGGCCAACAAAACTGTCTATAATTCAGCAAATATTAAAAAAATTAATCATATACAATATTTGCAAGAGAACAGAAACTGGTCTCATCATTTTCAAAGACATTTTGTAGAAGTTATCGACATCTTAAATCTGCATACCCTTCAAGCCTAGAATGTAGGTTTCTGATACACTTTCAGATTATAAAACTGAGCTGGATAAGAAATTACAGAACTCTAATGGAGAAACTGATGGCCTCATAAAAGTGCTAACAGAAGAGCAAGATCAAAAATTGATTACATGGGACTGAATAAATTGATGAAGATGACTATAATTTTTATGACTTTTGTTTGAAATATTGCTGATTTTTTAATGTTTTGTTTTTCCAGATTTAAGGGAAACTTTTTCTCTTTTCTCTTAAGGAACTATGACTTATAGCAATTTGTAAGCAGAATTGAGGCATTTCTCTTCTTCTCCGAATCTGATCACTCCAGAATTTGAAAACTTTTGATGAGTGAGTATTTTTATTTTCATGGCAATATAGTTATTTGCATAAGTTCAATAAGAATCTGTTCTCCCTACAGCAGGACACAATTGGAAACACTGGTTATATTACCCACGCTTTGACTGGAATGTCACATTTGAGAAAAACATGCATAAACTCAGATATGACCAAATAGCTTTAAGGGACAAGGATTGACCTTATGGAATAACGTCACTTGGAAATATTGGCCTGGTACCTTGCTTACAGAGTACCCAGCAACCTTAGCAGGTGAGTAAAGAAGGTCACTTCTCTGGCAGGTGCGAGAACCTCAGGATATTTTGGGGACCTCAAAAAGAGAGGAATTCACCCAAATATGTAGGCATTGCAGGCACAGTCTGATGACAAGTACTTGGCTTGGCTTTCTTGGCCTCAAGGGGCCTTTAAATTTCCATCTGAGATTCCTTATGAAAAGTTCCAGCAAAGCAGATTTAAAGGAGCCTATATGGTCAAGTGCTATTCTTGCTGTACTTATATAAATGATTGAGCTAAGTTTATTGAAACTAGACTTATTTTGTGAACCAATGAGTCTTAATTTGGCTATCTTTGGTAAAAATGAGGGTGATTTTAGAGAGAAAAATTATGTTTCAATAGAAACTATAATACACATTTGTGGATATTGGATTCTGGTTTTGTTAATTGTCTTTGAGATTTTTTTTTCTATCTGCAAACTGAAGCTGGACAACTTGATGTAAACTTAAGAGAGAACACCATGACAGCCCATGCTCGGACAATCTTCAAGCCTGTTGCTATATAAGCCACTCAAAAAGTTTACCGGAGCACTCAATGACATCATCAGAGACATTTCGAACTACAGGGGATACTTCAACCCGGACATCCAGAAATCTTCTTGACTGACCATCCCCTGGGCCCAGGAATTGGTTTGTAATTTGCTTCAACCATTAACCTTGTTTTCTTTTTGTTTCTCTGGAAATGCTTCTTGTTAAATACCTGGTTACTTGCTTACACAATATAGGCCTAACTTTGGGAGACCCTTCCCATGTCCTAGAGACAATCCACAAGACACGGAGAGAACTCGAATTAAAGAACTAGAGAGTGTCAGATATTCCTCTGCACCATCTTTATCATGGAGACTGGGTCCTATTAAAATCCTGGAAACACAAGCACCGAGAAGATCAACTTCACCCCCACCAGATGGGACCATATGAGAAAAGCCACAGGGAATGGAAACCATGCCACGGAAGAAAATCACAACCAGGATCACCCAAACCTTGGCTGGCTCCATACTCTAGACACTGACTTCTCCAAATGGACAAGAGAACCTCTGATACACCTCAAGTTGCTCTACAGAAGACAGTCTCCTAAACATAAGTAATGAATGACTCCCAGGTTCTTACCTTACTTGTTGGACAAAATTAGACAGCAGGCCACATGGCTACATCAGCTTTCATCTGGGGCTCCAGGCCCTAATCTTGATTGGTTTACAGGCCTCTTCTCCAGGATTCTCCAAGGATTAAGTTTCATTATGGAGGGAATACCAAAATTTGGGCTGTATATTTTGCTAATATGTGTGATTGTTTATGTAATTATAAAATGTGGACTTAAGTGTTGTTCCAAAGCCATTGATAAGGGTACTGAAAATATTAGTCATGCAGAACATACCTTGCTCTCCCCCCCACCACCAGGTACCCAATATTCTTGCGTATAAATAAATAAAATAAAGGTAGAATAATTTCATTTCTCTGACCTTGAACTTCACCCTTTCACAGCAGGAAGCAGCTAGAGTGGTCTTTCCCCCATTCCCCAAGATTGAGGAATGATCAAAAGAGAGTGGGGCTTGAAACTGAGGATGAAGGAGTTAAAATTTCCCTGGATTAAGGTTAAACTGTGTTTTGTAGCCAGAGGTTAATGTGGCAAACCAAATAACCAACGTTTCTGAGCTTGCGTTGCACAACAGCAGGAGGACCGCTGATAAGAGAGGAAGTTACTCATAGCCCTCTGCCTGCCTATGCATCTTGCAGGAACACTGAGAAACTAAAAGGACTCACTGTAAACTTTAGACATCAAAGACTAAAAATCCACGGCATGCGACACATAGAACAGAGAGTCGCGCTTGTGCAGAGGACTCTTAAAACTTCAGCCCCCAAGGCCACATGTTCCCCCACCCCTACCTAAAACCCCAAATAAAAACTCTTGCTTGTAGCTTTTCCGGGAGTTCGGGATTATGGGGTTAGCTGCCCATTCTCCTTGCTCAGTGCTTTGCAATAAAATTCGTATTTTCTTCCACTACACCCAGTGTCAGTGACTGGCTCGCTGCACGATGGGTGAGCAAACTCACTTCAGGTTCAACATCACTATCTCTACTCTAACTTACTGGCCTCCTAGGCTGCTCTTTGAACACACCAAGCAGGTTCCCTCAGGGCCTTTGTACTTTCTTTTCCTCCAGATAGCCACAGGACTAGCTCTCTCACTGCCTTCAGCTCTTTACTCAGAAATTACCTTCTCAGTGAGGCCTTCCCTGACTGCCTATTGTAAAATTGTAGTTCCCTACTCCCACTCTTCATCCTTCTTTCCTTTATTATTCTCCATAGGATTTTCACCTTCTGACATACTAGGCATTCAACTTATTGCCTGTCTCTCTCCAAAATGTAAGCTCCAAAAGCAGAAAGATTTGTGTCTGTTTTGTTCATTGTTGGTATCCCCAGTGCCTAGGGTAGTCCTCAATAAATATCTGTTGAATTAATAAAGGGAAACCACTATTCAATGACATCAAAATCTGAAGTGTCCTACCCATTCGGATCTCCAACTCCGTAAAAATTAACACACCGAACTATACCATCCTAAGGATTTTATTACGCTCTTCCACGCGGAGTAGTATTTTACATACCCAAACCGATGCAGAAAACTCAGATTCAGCCAAGAAAGGGGGAAAAAAAAAAAACCATTAAAGATTGAATGATTTGAACTCAAGAAATCCAATATAATTTGCTAAATTACACATAACAGGCTATTTCCCTCGACTTCGTTGTGTAAATACAGAGTGGCTCAATTTCTCCAGCAATAAAGGCCATATCTGAAGGATACAACCCTAAGAGCACACGATAGGCGACCAGTCGCACAAGCTGGGAGCGGGAGGGGCAGAGAAGACACTTTTTAACTGACGGAAGCTCTGATAAGGCCTGAGACGGTTGGGGATCCTTTTTCTGGGAGGCGGAAAGGGGAAGGAGGTTGCCCGTAGGAATCTCCTACACACAGCCCAGACGCCTGCTCCGACAGACCGAGCACCTCCCGTGGAGAAGGCTAGAATGTTACCCCGGGGTCTGCAGCCGGCGGATGAAGGGGTCCGGAGGTCACGTTACCTGAGAAGAGCCAGTTCAACGGGTCTTCTTCAGCTGGATGACTTGTGAAACGCCAAACAGCAGGACCTAGAACCCAGGCACCCAGGATAACCACCACTTCCACACACTATTCCTGCGCCGCAGAGTGCAGGGCACAGCGACAGGACGCACAAGGTACACCTCAGTTCCGGGAATCCGACCTTCCCCACCCCTCCCTCCAGGGTCCGCCCCGCCCCCGTCCTCAGTTCGCGATGTGCCGCGCTGCAGCCCTCCCACCAGCTGGCTACGCCGTGCGCATGCGCAGGAGCTCTCGCTGCCGCTGAGCACTCTGGGAAGTGTAGTCTGTATGCGGATGCCGGTGGGCCGCCAGAGTCCTACATCCCGGCGGAACCTGAAGAAGTCAGAACACTCTCGCCACCCCGGTCCTTATTCTCATCTTCACACCTGTCCAGTCAGCTCGCACTCGCGCTCCATCCCCACGCGCTGGGCTTCGGTCAGGGCGCGCCCCGAGGGAGAGTGCGAGAATCCCTCTTCCCTTCAGCAGGCTGTGCTGGTGGAGGCGGGGTCCGCTGCCCGCCACCCTCCCGGTCTCCCCCCCCCTCCCCGGCGGGTGCCGGGCCGGTGCCCG